TATGGGAGCTCCCTTGTAGGTAACTAACTGCTTTTCTCTTGCTGCTTTTAAGGTTCTCTCTTTGTCTTGAAACTTTTGCATTTTGATGATGATGTGTCTTGGTGTGGGCCTCTTGGGGTTCATCTTGTTTGGGACTCTCTGTGCTTCCTGGACTTGTATGTCTGTTTCCTTCACCAAGTTAGGGAAGTTTTCTGCCATTATTGTTTCAAACAGGTTTTCGATTTCTTGTTCTCGCTCTTCTCCTTCTGGCACCCTCAAGATGCGAATGTTGGCATGCTTGAAGTTGTCCCAGAGGCTCCTTACACTCTCCTCATATTTTTGGATTCTTTTTTCTTTTTGCTGTTCTGATTGGGTGTTTTTTGCTTTCTTATATTCCAAATTGATGGTTTGCTTCTTGGCTTTACCTACTCTACTATTGAATCTGTGTAAATTATTCTTTATTTCAGTTAGTGCCTCCTTCATTTCTGACTGTGCATCCTTCATTTCTGACTGGTCCTTTTTTATGCTCTTGAGGCCCTCACTAAGTTCGCTGAGGTTCTCTCTAAGTTCATTGAGCATTTTTATAAGCAGCATTTTGAACTCAGCATCTGTTAGGTTGCTTATCTCCATTTCGCTTAGTTCTTTTCCTAGATATTATTTTTGTTCTTTCATTTGGGACCTGTTTCTTAGTCTCTTCATTTTGGCTGCCTCCCTGTCTTTGTTTCTGTGTATTACTTAACAGATGTATGGGGCTAGCTGAGACCAGATGTTGCTCATTTGAAAGAATTTAGGAAAACCTGAAGCAGGATCCAAGACAGGCCAATCCTATGGTAAGGCAACTGGCAACAGCTTGGGTGGGCCTGAAAGTTGGGTGGGGCGGGGCCTCAGGGAATGACCAGGACGGGGCAACCTGTGTGAGCCAGGTTGCTGGAGTCCCAGATACAGCAGCTGTCTGCTGCCCCAGGGAAGGGCTCACCAAAGGAGCAAAGGCCTCTGACAGCACGTTTGTCCTGGAGAAAGCTGCTTCTCCAGACCTTTCTCCTATGCCAAACAGCTCAGTTCTTCCCTGTGTGTCTCTGGCTCCCTTGAGCTGCCTCCCCTCCAGGCTTAGAGGGAGTGAGTCCGTGCGCAGGCCCTTTAAGGAGCTGCCTGGGGCTCCAGCCGCCTCAGCCTCCCTGAGCCTCAGTTCCCGCTGGTTTTTCCAGCCAGAAGTGATGGGGATTCTCTTCCTGGCACTGGAACCCTGAGCGGGCGCCTGGTGGGGGACCCCTCAGTCCTCAGGAAGGACCTTCTCAGCCGAGGTGTCCTCCTGATTTTTATCCGCCACACGTGGGTGTGGGACCAGCCTGTCCCCTCCGCCCCTCCTACCAGTCTGGATGTGGCTGCTGCTTTAATTCCGTAGTTGTAGGACTTCCATTCAGCTGGATTTCAGGTGGTTCTGAATGATGGTTGTTCTGTAGTTTAGTTGTTACTTTGATGTAGTTGTGGGAGGACAGATACCGCGTTTACCTACCTGCCATCCTGACCGGAAGTCAAATTCACCATTTTAAATGGACCAATTCAACGACATTTACTGCACTCACAGTGTTGCCCCACCACCAGCTCTGTGGAATTGCCAGGCATTTTCATCAGCCTGAAAGGAAACCTGTGCCCACTGAGCAGTTGCTACAACCCTGCTTCCTGCTGCCCTCAGCTCCTGGCAACTGCCAGCTTGTTCCACCTGCACGGATTCACCTGTCGTGGGTGTTTTCTATACACGGGCCCCACCGCAGGTGACCTTCTGTGTCTGGCTTCCCTGCTTAGCATGGTGTTTTCAAGGTTTATCGACTGTAGTATGTGTTAGTACTGGATCCCTTTCTATGGCTGAGAATACCCACTGCATGGATGTATCACTATTTGCTTATTGTTTATCTGTGGATGGGCCCAATTTAAAAATGGGCAAAGGACTTGAACAGACATTTCTCCAAAGAAGATGTGCACATGGCCAATAAGCACATGAAAAGGTGTTCAATGTCATGCAGGGAAACAACATCAAAGCCACAGTGGGGTGTCACTTCATACAAAATTAGGATGACACACACAAAATGGAGAGTGGTAAGTGCTGGCCAGGATGTGGAGAGGATCGGATCCTCCTGCGTTAATAGTGGGAATGTAAAACAGTTCATCTGCTATGGAAAACTGTTTGGTGGGTCCCCCCAAAATGACCATTTGACCCAGCCATTCCACGCCCAGGTTTATAACCAAAAGAATGGAAAACAGGGACCTGACCAGGTGTGTGGACAGGTGTGTTTATAACAGCACCATTCACAATAAACAACAGGTAGCAATGGCCCAGAGGCCCATCCACAGATAAACAATAAGCAAATTGTGATACATCCATGCAGTGGGTATTCTCAGCCATAGAAAGGGATCCAGTACAAAGTTGATAAACCTTGAAAACACCGTGCTAAGTAGGGGAAGCCAGACACAGAAGGTCACCTGCGGTGGGGCCCGTGTATAGAAAACACCCACGACAGGTGAATCCGTGGAGGTGGAACAAGCTGGCAGTTGCCAGGAGCTGAGGGCAGCGGGAAGCAGGGTTGTAGCAACACTCAGTGGGCACAGGTTTCCTTTCAGGCTGATGAAAATGCCTGGCAATTCCACAGAGCTGGTGGTGGGGCAACACTGTGAGTGCAGTAAATGTCGTTGAATTGGTCCATTTAAAATGGTGAATTTGATGTTTGAATGTCACATCAATTTTTAAAAATTGTAAAAATATCTCAAATATTACAGGAAAGTACATATACGAAGTACTTTAATAGACACCCAGGTAATTATCACTCAACTTCGCCGTGTCTTAATATTTTGCCTTATTACTTTTAGTATTAAGGAAATAAATCTTTTCAGGTGGCATCGAAGCCCCCTGGATTTCCTGCTACTACATTATTCTGCCTCCTGCACTCAGGGACCACCCTGAGGCTAGATGCGGTGAGCTGTATGTGGCCCTGCCTCGTGTTTTCACGTGGTGGAAGAAGGAAAAACAACCTCTTTTTTTTTTTGGTATGTGTCCCTAGCGGGAACCGAACCCGGACTCCCTGATCCACATGCTGATGCTCCACTGCTGAGCGAAACCGGTCAGGGCAGAAAAAACAACTCCTAAGGCAGGTGAGAAGGAAGTGTTTCAGCAAGGGGGAATTGTTTCTTCTAGAAGCCCCACCGGCGCAGGTCACACGCCGCCCTGGAGGAGTAAGTTTCCACTAATCCCTGGCTCTGATTCTGTTTCCCACACCCCGTTCTCTCCTTTCACTTGGTGGGGCTGGGGGTCCTCCTGTCCCCTTCTCTCAAGATGGCTCTGCCTGGCTGGGCTGTTCCTATCCTTAGGGGCACTCCTTCCTCTAAACTGCCATTCCAAGAGGAAGCAGAGGGCAAAATGTCCCTTCTGTGAAGCAGACACCTGCCACCACCTGCTGCCACCTGAGCCAGTTCTTGTGAAGGCAAAAGGAGGAAACACCAGAATGCTTTGCATGGAGCCCCACTAACACACTGTGTCCTGATTCTTGTTCTAATGCTCCCCGAACAACTACACAGAGAGTCTCACATTGGAGCATTTTAAGAGACAGTAGGAAGAGCTTTTGTCGTCTAAAAATGTCTTTGTCCCATCACACCTTGTCATTAGTCACTCTATCTTTGGGCAGGAAATTGCCTTTGTAAAAATAGTACAGCGGCCCCTGTACAGAGGACCTGCCATTCCTTACGAGCACTGCATGCCCCTTGATTTCCGTGATCCAGCCTCGGGCAAGCAGAGACTAAATGCTGAATGGAAAAACAGGGAATGAGCCATTCAGGGAAGGAATGTTCCTGTGGTACAAGCCCCTCCCCACTGGGGGGGGGGGGGTGTCCCTATCTACCTATGATGAGATTAGGTTTAGTGGTGTCCATGGTTTCTTCTAGATGTCACTGCCTTGATTCTGGCTTGCCCCAGGATTTGAAGTCTCTCTGGAAACACCCAGGTTTGGGCTCACCTCAACTCTCATAAGTTCAGTGATAGGGTGCCATCAGGCAACCTGGGCCCTCCTAGCTCTCCCTCCAAATTATCCATGGATGGCAGAACCTGCTTCCTTTGATGATCACCCTCCTGGCTCCATCACTCACACAGTAAAAAGCTGGGGTCCCATTTTTAAACAGTTAAGTTTAGCCATTTTCTTTTCCAACCAACTCTCCAGGCACTCACCACTGTGGTGGGGGTAGGTACAGAAGTGGAGTCTCCCTGACTTTCACTTCTGAACCCACAAAATAAGCATAGCCTGCCCCATTCCAGGTAAGCGCTCGTAGACCCTGGAGACCATCTTACCATCCTGCAGCCATTGGCTGAGCTGTACCCTCCAGTGCAAGGAGAAACCAACCACAGATGCAGAGGTCTCAACTGCTCAAGGTCAGCCCAGATTCCGAATGGCTCAGCCAGCACACACCCCCACCCCCAACACACACACTCACACACACTCACACAGCATAATGACTGGAGGAGCAAAACACAGCCTGTTTTCTTATTTCCAGACCAAGGTTGTCTTATATACCTTCACTCGCCAGAAACTCCCGATTCAGCTTCTTCTACGACACCAGCCCCATCTCCAAACCTCAGCTGGTGAACTCAGGTTTCTTTTGCAGACTTTATAAAAGGAAACCCTAACCCTGAGTAAATCTGAGCACCTCTAGGTGGACATCGCATTCCAATGAGGGCTTCTTCTGCGTGGCCCATGCGAAGCGGGTCGGGGCTTTGGAACCGGCGCGCAAGGAAGGGGTCTGGTCCTCTTCCAACCTCTGACCCAGGCTGAGAATTTGGTTTTCCCTCTTAAGTCTGTGTCCCCCATTGTCGTTGGTCTAGAAGGGGCCAAACGACCGAAAGGGTAAAGGGGTCGGGGAGGGGGAGACCTTCATCACCCTGGCCTCGCTACCCCTATGCGGCGGGGACCTGCGCAGCTTGTGAATCAGGTGCGGACGGTCCACCCTTCCCATTCCCCAGCACGGTCGCGCAAGCCACTCACAAACTCGAGGGTGAAGAGCAGGTCGGGGAAGACGGTGAAGACCGAGAAGCCGCTGGGCAGGGAGCTGCCCCCCGATGCCGCTGCGGGAGCCATGCTGGAGGGCTGTGTTGGCCTCGGGACGGGACGCGCGGCTCCGGCTCCGCGATGACTACTCTCTGGTACCGCGGAGGCCAGTGGCCGGGCGCCCCCGCGCGCAGATTAAGAGCAGGGGCGCCCGGGGGAGGAGGGAGGAGCCCCGGCCGCTGCCCGCCCAGCCCGGCAGGGCGCGCCCCAGGAGATCCAGCTTGGGGAGGGGCGCTGCTGGCGCCGCCCTGACCCACTCAGAGGGCGCGCGGAGGGCGCGTGGAGCAAGGGCTGGGACTTGGCCCTGATTCCCAACTCCGGCACCACCTCCGGCGGGGAACAAGAATAAGCCACTCAGTGCACTCTTCGCAGGTGATCCCCACCCCTTAGGAATGATAACCATCCATCACTGCGTCCCCAAACTCCTCATCATGGCGCCCTGCGAGTTGCCATTGCTTTAATTCTGAAGTGGGGTCCCTTTATCTTTCTGCGGGGTCCAGGCTAGCGGTAGGACCAGTTCCTAGCCCTGCTCCCTGAGGGTCTGCAAGAACCGCGCCAAGACTCTCTCTGGCCACCACCCCTTCCTGCGCAGGACACCGTGAGCCTTCGGCCCGCTCCGCTGTGAGCGTTAGGGGCGAGCCGGTCCGTCTGAGGGGAGGCGATCGCTCTCGGCCGTGCCCGCCCCCAGGAGGGCTGCTGGTGCTGCTGCGGGTGCTGGGGCAGATCTGTACGGAATCCGGGGGACGGGGTAACACTCCTAGAGCAGATGTATCTCCTCCACTCCCAGAGGGCAGCTGGCGCCTCTCTGCGACGGGATGACTCCCTCGCCAAAGGCCCTTTGTTTCGTTTTGTTTTATTTTTACCGGGACCACACTTTATTTATTTACTTACTTATCTCTCTCTCTCTCTCTCTCTCTCTCTCTCTCTCTCTCTCTCTCTCTCTCAAATTGATTTTAGGGGCGGGGAGGGAGAAAGAGAAGCATTGACTTGTTCCACCCATTCATACATTCACTGGTTGATTTCTGTATGTGAAACAAGTATCACACTTAAGTAGTTGCCTATTTATTTTAATTTGGGTACTATTCCCAGGGCATGTCCCCAGCTAAGTCTCCCCAGCACTGCTGCGATTTCACCCACAGCCGATAGCAGGGCATCCAGCCAGCTCCCCCCTCTCCAGTGGAACCCTTACCCTTTCCCCTCTACAGCTCTTTCCTTCCCAGTCCCTCTGAAAAGAAGTAAATTCCTGGACACATTTTCCAAAGTAATAGTCCTTGCCCTGAGCTGTCCATTCTGACCACTTTTGGAGACGCACCAGGCATTTGAGATGAGAAAATCCCACTGCACCTCTGTGAGCTTCTTGGGCCTGTTGGTTTTCACAACCTGAGACCCAGGGGCCAGAGTGCCAGGGCCCATTGTCTCCCCTCTCCCACCAGGTCCCCAGGGCAGGACCCCTCTGCCCGGATGAGCCTGCATGAGCTATGAGATTGTCAGGGCCTCCCCCCAGGTCTGCACCCACCCAGGCATTTTACACAGAGTTGGTTGGGCCTGCTGGGCCTGGAAGGACATCCTCTTTCTCCCGAGGGGACTCTAGTGGGGACAAGCCTCAAACAAGGTGGCCACAGAAAGCCACAGCCTTCAAGCAAATTCTCAAAACAAACAAAAAACAGTAGAGCTTGGCAATTTCTCTATTGGTGTTCACTGATTAAAAAACACAAAGGTTGCATCAACTCTTTTAAAAAATATGTTTTTATTGATTTTTTTAGAGAGAGAGAGAGAGAGAGGGAGAGATAGAAACATTGATGTGAGAGAGAAACATCAGTTGGCTGCCTCCTGCACACCCCCCACTGGGGATCAAGCCCGAAACCCGGGCATATGCCCTAAAATGGAATCAAACCCAGACGACGCTCAATCCCTGAGCCACACCGGCCTGGCTATATCAACTCTTAATAACCTTTTTGCCTGGCCTTGAAGTTTTCCATTTGCATTTTGCTAGCTATTTCAAACCTTTGTTGCTAAGGCCTTCAAGCCTGGGCCTGTGGCTTGGAGAAAGGCTCCTTGGGGTCCTTCAACTATGCTGATTGACTCCAGTCCTCCTCTGATAAGGTCTAAGATGCTATAGAGGATTAGGAAGCAGTCTGGTCAAGGTCAAGGGGTTTGTCCCTTTCTCTGTGACGCACGCCTCTGCCCTGTAGTCCTCTGCTTCCTGACCAAGTCTACCCTCTACAGGGCATCCCTCACCCCATCCCCATCAATCTGCTCCTTCCCTGTTATATCCTCTGCACCTGACCAAGAACCCAGCCCATGGTAGGTACTTAATAAATGTTAGTTCAGTGTCAGGATGAACCCAGGCTTGCCCGTGCTTGACCACAGAGGAGGAAGTGGGGTGATTCTGTTGGACATAAAGAGTATTGGGAAGCAGAGACAGGTTTGTGTTCAGGTCACAGCAGAGCTTCCCCAAAGGGCTCTGGGCCACTTGCTGATGGTTCATATTTATAAGAAGCCCAGGATCACACTTTGGTTTCCAGCAGAATATGAAAAAACAACCCAGCCAATAATAAGTCTTTGAAGTGTCCTCAGTCCTCCTAGCAGCACAGAGGGTATGAGTGTGAGGGGTCAGTCTGGGCTGGATCTGGGGCTTCTGCTAAAATAGTAACATGGCCTGCTCTGGCCAGTGGCTCAGTTGGTTGGAGCATTGTCCAATACACTGAAAGATTTGAGGTTTGATCTCTTGTTGTAGTGGGTATGGTAGGTAACCAATCAATGTTTCTTTCTCACATCAATGTTTATCACTTTCTCTCTCCCCCTTCCTTTCTCTGTGAAAATCAATAAAAACATATCCTTGGGTGAGGATTTTTAAAACAACAACAACAACAATAACAATAATAATAATAGCAGCCCTACCTGGTTTGGCTCAGTGGTTAGAGCACCTACCAGGGTTGCAGGTTTGATCCCCAGACCCTTTGGGGTCCAGCAGGAGGCAACCAATCAATGTGTCTCTCTCACATCAATGTGGTTTTTTTTCTCTCTCTCACCCCCCACTCCTTCCTACTCAATCTAAAAATCAATAAAAAAACATCCTCCGGTGAGGATTAACAAAATAAAAACAACAACAACAACAACAACAACAACACGGCCTAGGGTGGGTTACTACAAAGTAGAAGGTAAAAGTTCATTGCCATGCCAGCCCGAGGGCTGAAGCCGTCCTCCCACTTAAGTATGGGTGGAAGGGGATGGGGCAGAGGGACCTGTTCTAAGATCCATGGGACAGGAAATGCCAATAAATAGGGCACAGACTGACATCCCTCAGAAGAGGGGGTGGGGAGGTGGGAAGAGATAAACCACAGAAGTTATATGCATGTATGCATAACCAATGGACATGGACAACAAAGCCGGGGACAGGGTAAGGGGGATGGGGAGGGGGGTGCCAATGGGGTAAAAAAGGAGAAACATCTGTAACACCAACAAAAAAATTAAAAAAAAAAAAGAATAAAAAAATAATAGCAGCTGATTTGCTTTTGAGGCCTGTAGAATGACTCCCATTTGGCTGATAAGGTAATGGAGGCTCAGAAAGGCTAATTAGCTGCCTGAGGCCACAGAGCTGGAGAGGGGTGGAGCTCAGTCTTGAACCTGAGAGATGCTGTGTCTGCCTCCATGGCTGCAAGTACGCAAGACTGTGCTGAAGATGGAGAACTGCCAGTCAAACGCTGTGCTCCGTGCAGACCATAGACAGCCACCCACATCCAGTCTCAGTGGTCATCTCAAGCTTGTTTTCAGAGCCCTGCCCGGTTGACAGGGCTCTGGACCCTGACAAGGAACGGAAGGTTGGAGGTCATCATCCCTGTTTATGGCTAGGAAAGCTGGGTGAAGGCCAAGCTCACGGAGCTACTGTGGGCCAGCATTTACCCCAAGGGATCTGTTTTAGCCACTGCAGCCCTCAATCTCCATCCCAGGCATCAAGAAACGAGGGCACCTGCTGGCCAGATGAGTTCATGGCAGTCACAGCTGTCTTGGCTGCAGCCCACTGAGTGCCCAGCACCACCACAGGCACTGTGTCCACATGACCTCATTTAATGCCCCAGAGCCTAATAGGTGTCACCCCACTTTTCAGGCTCAGAGTGGGGAAGGAATCGGCCCAGACCGCAGGGAGGGCAACAGGACCTCTTGACTCCAGAAGGGAGACCACCCCCACAGCCTCCGTGCCTACTGCATAAAATCCACACCCTTGAACATTAGAGGTGATGTTTGCTCCCCAGACAGCAGTCCCTTGATGGACCAATGGGGCACCTGTACCCTGCTGCCTCCAATGACAAGTGATCATTTTCTCTTGTTCCTAACCTCTTCTGGGTTTGTGTTCCCTAGTGCCAGGGAGGCTAGGCACCCTCCCCCCCTTTCCGAGAGAGTCATCGCCAAGCTCTGAGATTCCCAGTGTGCAGCAGGGACTGGCATTGTCTGGGCGTCTCAGGGGCAAGGACAGAAGGCGGAGGTTCCCTTAGGTGAGTTCCATCTAAAAGGGACATCGAAGGCCCTGACCGGGTAGCTCAGTTGGTTAGAGCATCATCTGATACACCAAGGTTGCGGGTTCAATCCCCAGTCGAAGCAACCAGTGAGTGCATAAATAAGTGGAACAACACATCGATGTCTCTCTCTCTCTCCCTTCCTCTTTCTCTAAAATCAATCAATAAAAATTTAAACATATAATGAACTGCAATACCAGGGTCGCACCTGCAGAGCGGTAGATGTGGGGCCGGGCCTGCCCTGGCACTTTCCCCGTCTCTGCACATGCTGAGCAGTGCGGTGTGGGCCAGTCACTCTGCGTCAAGGTTGGGGTGAGGGCAGGCCCCCATTTCTGAGCACCTGTTGGGAGCACTGAAGATGCAGCCCTGGTGGAGGCCCCTGCCCTCAGTCCCCCGTCAGTAGCAGCCCAGCAAGCGCCAGGCAACAGGGATAGCATAGGAGCAGGGGGGGCGTGGGTCCCATCAGGCCCTGCTTTGCACCCCGATGGCAGCAAGTACAAGGAGGGACATCCATCCTAAGAGTCAGAGGCACTCGGGTGTGGGCAGCAGCGCAGAAGGAAGTAGACGCAGGCAGTGAGTTCTGGAAGAAGCCGGGAGAGATGCTGCCGGCTGGGAGGA